TGACATCCTTTACAGTACAGTGTCTCTTAGTTTGGACTCACAACAGTAGTGTTTAAAAAAAAACCTCAAGGTCAGAGTTATTTCACCATTGACTCTGACTAGCTAGATCTGTCACTAGTTCACGCTAACAATTCCTCTGAACACACCTTTGAGAGGTTGTTATTAATTTTACTGTTGTATGAAGTATTGACACAAGGACATGCCTTAGGGTTTACTTTTACAAAAAGCCCTCTGAAAGGAAAGACAGATTGTAGCCCTTAGACACAAAGGACACAAAATACACTCTATAAATCCTACATGATACCTTAGAGTGGTAGTTCCCAAACCAGAGATAGTCGTATCTGCAGTACAAAACAGTGTGCTGTAGAAATCGTTACAGGAACACTGCTATGGAGTAAGGTTGTCTACTTAAGTACATTATTATACAGTGCTACTAAAGCTGATGGTTCAAATTATACTCTAGGAGAGGTGTTGAAGAACATTTTGAGCACACCCAGATCCATGCCGATTCCAGTTTCTAGTGACTTGTGGTGGAGGAACCTCACCTCTAAACCTCCTCTGAACCTATAAGGGTTGACAGCAGGTATTTAGTGTTTTCTGGTTAGGGTTAATGTTTCTTACAATTTCCATGTTAGTTTCTTTATAAAAAATGTAATTAAGAGAGTTGCAAATCAGATAAAAAATAAGCCACTTTACATATTCCCTCTCTCTGCGTCACCATGGTAATGTCGCTGCATCAAAAAAAAAATCTTAAAATGCAATTTATGGAAGATGTTTATTATAACTCCTAATTGTTTACTCATACTCAATCAATGTCATCTTAATTTGTGAAACTGGATAAAGTGCCATAAATAAACTTTTTAAAAGATGAGGAGGCAACAAATGGATCAATAACTTCCATCTGAACTGTGGTGCAGGCTGCATTCTCCTTTCTTCCTGGTTCCCTTGATTGTTTTAAGCAATTTTATCTACCTCCCTACCCCCTTAAAAACAAGCAGAGACTGGTTTTCACCAAGTGAGGGAAACCAGGACACCTGAGCCTCAGGGGACTCTACATGGTCTATGACACACATGAGAAAATACACTACACACCTTAGATTGGCTTATATTAAAAGTTGCTTCTATTGTTTCCCCTGCTCCACCACTTTCTCTCCTTCAAAACTACAATCAGACGAAACATGATAGTGCCATAGATGCAGAGAGCTAGTCCGACACCTCTGAGATGACTGAAGTTCGCTCAGGTGTGGAGGTCACCTGATAAAATCCTACTTGTTATCTGATCTGACAGCTTCATGTCCGAAGCTGCCTTCCCAGTGCAACGTGGGAAAACTGAGATTTGACTGACGGTTGTTTATTTATTTTTTTAAAAGCTATTCTCTACACACAATCTTCGTGCCTTTTTCACGCTTGTGCATTGACAGGCTATCAAAAACATAAATTGGGACAAACAGACGACTTAAATGCTGAATGAAGATAAACAACCAAACCAGTGACAGCAAAAAAAAAAAAAAAAATATATATATATATACACACTGTATATAGTAGGGTTTAAACAAAGGGCTTCTGTCAGAGGGACGTCCAGTGTGATATCATCACATGACCAGCGTGCCGGCGATTACTCCATTAACCTAGGTATTTTGTTATTCTAATTGCCTACAGACTTGTCAACAACCATGAGAGAAAAAGTACTAAACGCGATTTTATCATTTTTGTTGTATTGATTATGGGTTACATCATGTTGCCAGTGACAAACAAATATTAGGTTAAAATCCATCTGGAATCCACCAGCATTTTTTGAGCTGAAATAGTAAAATTTAGACATAATCAGATAACTGTTCTTTTTTTTAACACCGATCTGGTCTGTTCTGCTGTCCCACTATAGCTGCAGCTATTTTTGAGGTCAGAGCTGTCAAATTCAGACATGTCTCAAAAGTGAAATTAATGATACATGGATCTAGTGCCTCATGTTTACTAGCCAAATGTGACCACAGCTGGACAGAGATGAAGGAGGCTGTCCTATTTTTTGAGAAATGACAAATGAAGCACAGAGACTTTTTCTATAGCCCTTAGAGTAACTGGGGGCAACAAAATAACCCTAAGAAGAAATACAGGGTTCATAAACTTTTACATTGGACAAATTTAAACAGTTTTCAAACAGGATCCATTTTCAATTTTCTAGTGTCTAAAATGACTTATATGTAACCTTGGTCAAGTATTTTCTATTCTATCACTTTCTTTAAGCTACTTTTTGGGCTAACCTTGAAATAACAATTACTCCTAATTAATACCCTGATTTTTAGCCACTCATTCTTTAAGCTGTCTAGATATGCTACAATAGACTACAAAGGACAATGAGAAAAACAAATCATGATAATGTAAGATATCACAGTGGATTGTAAATTAAAGACAGTTGCAATTGTTAGGTGAAGTCAGACACCTGCATGTGGTCAAAGTCTTGGCCAAAAAGCCAAACAGAAAAAGATTTTGACCAAGCCAGTCTTAAATTTCGCCCTAGAGGTGTCTTGATAGAATGACCATGTCTTTATCTTAGGCCATAACAGACTTACAAAAAATGCAAACATGATTTCTATTTCCCTTTGTTCTGAAGATGTTTTTCACTGGCTGGAGGTACAATTGAGACAAATGTGACAATTTCCCAATACAACTGTTAACTCATTTATAACAGGTGAATCTTACAAAACCATAATGGAGAGTTTGTAACTCAGACGGTGATGCCTGCAATTAACCTAATCTAAGATTTCATATACACTAAGAGCTGCAACTGGATTAAAAAAGGTGTGTTTTTACATTGAAAATTGAAAAAGCCCTTATGAATAGACAGGTCACTGTCAGGATCAAGACTAGTGTGAAACAAACCTACCACCGTAATCCTATCAGATGTTAAAACACAGGAGGATGACACAGTCATGACTGCCTGCTGCGTGTTTGCTAATATATAATAAAAGCATTTATTCCCTGTCCTGTCATGAGGAAAGTCTTTGTGAGAGAGGAGGAGAGTTGCAGTTAAAGTACAGAGAATCCTGTATTCTTTCTGGGACCAGGCTGTGTGGGGGAGGGGATAAAAAAGAGGCTACAGATAAGAGATCTGACAGTTTAGCTAACTGACTGGCCTACAGCCACAAACAAATGACTGTTAAGACACCCTACATAATTGAGGGTGTATTAATTTGCATTTATGCTGTCTTTTGTTAACAGGTTTATCAGGGTTTATCTAGAAGGGGATTATTCTATTCTTTTATTCTCCCATTATTTGGAGGCAGTGTTGGTCGACGTCTGTCAAGTGCTGTCAAAATCCAGAGGAAAAAACTAAAAATGATAAATACATGTGCCACAAAATCCAAACTATTTTTGAAGCAAGATGCAGATTTAAAGCTTTCATGTTTTCATGTATTCATTAAAAAGTGCAAAATCCTCTCTAGCAATTCCAGTGGGTAATGATGTCAAAAATTATGTATTTTATGCAATATGGTTCAACTTGGAATTGGTCTAATTGGAGAATGGTATTTAAAAGCTAAGAATGTTTTTAAATAGAGCAAATATTAATGCTAATCCTGTAACACTTAAAACTACAGTCAATTTCAGTTTCACAGCTAGAGTCTGAGCCACTCCTAAGACAGTGGCCAAGAACAGCTCACCACAGGGACACATTTAGAAACTAACAACACATTTAGACACTAACAACTTTTGACACACAATTCACATCTATGGCCAATTTAGACATTTGTCACATTAACCTAATCCTGTATGTTTTTGCTGAGGGAAGAGGGAGTGCCCAGATGAAGTCCACACACCAAGAATGGACAAACTCCAGACAGAAAGACCAGGGATCAAAAAAGATCTATGGTAATGCTAATCTTGGTGTAAAACTGGCCACTTTTCCATTGTGTGGCCCTGCTTGTTTAATTGATATATAACATCATGAGAGAAAAAAATGTGTAGCTTTGACAGTAATGAGTATCATGCAGGATATTAAAAAAATGAGCCAACACTAAGCAACAGTGTGCCTCTGCACACAATGTATCTCCGTTCTCATGTCCTTCAGGAAGGAAACAGTCACAGTCTAACAATATTCCTTGAAAACCTTTTCAGAGTTCATGTTTTTAACACTCAATGCACTGGAACTGAAAACAGTGAAATAGGCTTTTCAAATAGGCATTTCAGAGTTTTTTCCCCCCAGCTTAAAACACACTGCACATTGCTGTGTAAATGTGTTTGTGAAATGCAGCCACTCTGATCAGAAAACATGAACATCACCTCAAAGTTACAGCATCTGCTCTAGTTTCTTCTCTGCAATTTATCATTGTCACATTTCAGAGTTTTTTCCCCCCAGCTTAAAAAATAAAACATTGCTCATGAACACTGTCATCTAAATTGTGTTCTCTTCAAGACTAGTGTGAGGTGACCTTGTTAAAATTGGTGTAGGATTAAAAAAAATTAATTAACTGATTAATTAATTAAATACACTAATTAAATACTAGCCACTTGAACAAATGCAATACATTACCAAATTATAGACCTTCAGTTATTACAGTAGAGTATTCTCTACATTTTTTGTAATCCAACAAAATATCAAATAAACATAGTTATTGACATTGTGGATTGCTTGTGTGTAACAGCTGACGTGTCCAAGAATAGACAGCCCTGGAACCACTTAAGGCGATCAAATGTTCCCCCATAAGTATAGTTGATGGACAGGGCAATGTAACACAAGACGAACTGTATAAAAAAAGTAAGTCACACACCACATGTGTTCACGTAAACACCTGTAGTGAACTTGACAACAGACACATCTGGCCTATAGCTTTACAGGTCAGGTTAGTAAGAGCACAGGAATACACGCTTTCACATGGGAAAGCATTAATATTTAATACTGTTGCCTTGTATATGAAGTGTAGCAACTTTTCCATTGCAACCAATGACCTTTCCTATAGTGTTACCATTCATTGTCAAAATGTGTACAGTTGTATCTGTCTTTTTACCTTTAAGGAGTCAAAACAGGCAATCACTCTCCCATTCTCCACCTGACAGCTTTTAGGCGGGTGGGCAAATTTGCATTCCTCGTCAGTGCGTGAACACGTTCCCCTCTGAAACTGCCGGCACACTTCTAGTGTCAGCCATTTCGTGTCCCTTATTGTTGCAATGTTAAGAGCCATGTCAGCGGTGCTAGCTGGACAGCTTGGGTTGAGTAGAGCCGCTGGTCTTTTTTAAATTGACACTTATCCTGCTGGAGTGGGGATTTAAAGTTCCAGTAAAATAAAATTAAAATAGAATAAAATAGCACCTAAACCAATTGAACATGTAGCTAAAATGTTCTGTTTATGGTCAGTAGGTAAGTTTGGTTCTTGTGGACAAGAGAGTGAAGATAATGAACTCGTAAAATCTCTGTGACTGGATCATGGGACTGCCACTGTTGAGTCCGTCGGTCAAACTAGGAGTTGGTCATCAATCAGTGCGTCTCAAATGCAGAACTCTGACAAGGCAGAGGGCACATGCTCGGAAAAAAGCTCCACTGAATTCACTGATGTCCCCAAAATGTCCTTCATGTATGACTGATGATAGCTGTGCAAGGGTGGATGTTAGGGAGCAAAAGTGGGGCTATTTTGGGTTGCAGTGGCCCACCTTGGACCAATACAGAGTTTCTATTGTTTCAAAGGGTTTTGCACCAAGTGTCTCCCAGCATATGGAGCATACGTGCAAGATCTTCAGCACTTGATTCTTGTTGTTGATTCCTTCAAATGTTTTTCAAACTGTGAACAGTCCAGGGCAACCCCAGGTGTTGGGAGTGGGGGTGGGCAAATCCAATGGCCTGCAGGAACCACCCACGATTAACTTGGGTTGTTGTCTCACAAGGCACTTACTTTCAAAGACCTGAAATGGAGAGGAGAAAGAGAAAAACAGAATGAGGTTACCTTCAGGTTTGGGAAAAGGGTCCACATATATTCAAAGGGATTTTGTGCAAGCGTGTCATTTTGGGAGCACACTCAGCAACACTGCAGATGACTGCTAGTTCTGCTGGTTATAGGGGTAATGAACCAGAGAGAAAAGCAGGTGCGAGAACATTCAAAAACCACTTAAGTTTAACTCCCTCATGCACAGCTGTGTCCTATTATACATGCCTACTACAAGCCCACTGGCTCTAGAACATATTGCATTCAAGGCAATGAAAACAAGAGGCCTCTTAGATATGAGAAAGTGGACATTGTGCATCAAGTAAGAGTGAAGATAGGAAAAAGAAAAAAGCCCTTTGCAATCTACCTGGTGCCGAGTTAGTACTGACAACTGTTTGGGAGCTTGATATAAATTAGACAGGCAAAATACAAAGTAAAATGTCTTTGTTGGAATAAATTAATTTAAAAGGTTGCAAGGGTAGGTCACAGTTCACCATCACCAGTTAAGAAAAACATTTTATTCTTCATAAGGTAGCACAGAGTTTAAGACTACCAGCATTGTCTGTAACTGTAAAAAGCTTCAGAGAGAGAGAAGAAACCTCTGTGTACAAAGGGTCCAATGTTGGGAAGGGCTGCTGAATGTGCATGACTTTTGTGTAGGGCTGGCAGTCTTGAATTTCTGAATATAAAAAACCTCATCCAAGCTTGGACAGTTCAGGTCAAGTTCAGGAGAAAAATGAGGAATGGTATTTGTGTCTAGTACTATTATTCCATGAAGCTGGCAGATAAACATGGCCATCACATGGTGCTTTTCTTTTCCCTGTTGCCTAATGGATGATAGTTTAAATGCATGACCAGATTTTAGTTTGCTGAAAAGTACACTCACAGCAATATTTAGACCTACTCAAGTACACTCACAGCAATATTTAGACCTTGCTAACTGATTATACTACCTAAAAAGTGGCCTGTCAATGTGGATTTGAAACAGGAACCTCACTATGTCCTGAAGAGAAAAAAAACATTTTTGTAGTGGCCCTACAGAGAAACCCAGGCAGGGCATTCCAAGCAGTAACAATCTGAGGAAGTGACCTTTAGTTGAGTGTATGAAATCCATTATTAAGCTACTGTGGAGGAGTGCTGTTCTTAGCACATCTGGAAATGTTTTTGGTGATGGAGGAAAAGCTGAGGGCACTAGACAGGAGGAGTCAATAGAGAGAGATTGTAAAAAAACTTAGTGATGGTATAAACTTTTTTCCAGCACCTTTGAGGGCATATGACAAGCTCCACATAGTCTTAATAAAGGGAAGTTAAAACTTGTACTTGTACTACTGTTAAGGGAGGAAGAAATCCCTTTACAAATTCTCCACACAAGCTCTTAAAGAGCTGTCATGGGGGTGAACACTGGCTGAATTCTTGTCAGATCTGAGGTCTACATTCTGCTTACATTCTTCCATCCTGTAGACCAAAACCAAAGCTAGTATTTTAGTCTCTTTTTTTTAGATTTGAGCTCTTTATGTGAAACACATTTTGTTGGTTTCTTTAGACTCCAGATTTAGAAAAAGAACATTTGAACCAAAAGCGTTTTTGTTGATTTGTTTGCAGACAGGTTTATGTTTTGCAGTAAATTCATCCTATAAATCCAAACTACTGTCTAGCTCACCATATCATCCCACTTCAGTAAGGACCATGTGAAATGAGATGAGAAGCTTCCTCACCCCCACAGCAATCTCCGGAGCAAGATTTAATTTCATGCTTTCTCCCAAGGGAAGGCGCCACTCGCTCCAGTCAGGTACGAATCATGTCAGATCTGACCTTTAACAATTAATCCTGTCTTATTTTTAGAAGCAATACAAAAGTCTCTGATCAGGATAACCCACTTTGTCAGGAAGCAAAAAGCATGTCAGCAGCATTTTGAAGCAAATAAAGAACACTGTTTTAAATTGGCACAATCAACACTAAATGTTTTTTATGATGATACATAAGTAAATTCTTATAACAAAACAAGTAGTTGTTATTAAGGGTCTCCTTAAAAGCTCACCAAAGACTCAAGAAGCTGTAGACTCATTGGAAAAGATATACAAAACACACAGTATACATGTTTCCCAAATATACATTTGTGTATGAAAATCATTTTTGTTAATATTCTTGCGGTAATCACAAAAAAGAACAAACATCTTCTCTAAAAATTGACTCTAATCAATTCCTTTATAAACTTCTTCAAGTTTTTCCAGCACTACCAAACCACTCAACACAGCTAGATATGAAGTGACACCAAGAACACCAGCTGCTGAAAATTAAAGACCAACCCTGGAGGGGAAACTGTTAACTGCATCATCTTACTTCACATCCTCAGGACATAACCTTTAGAAAGACACATTCTGTAAGGCTTGAGGTGGCACTACATTATTTTACATAGCGACAGCATCAATTGGTCTCTTTGCCTCCAATGTTACTGCAAAGGCAAAAAGTAAGTCCCTGGTCACTGTTGCATGATAATATCCACAAAACCACACTTTCAAAACCAAATGTAATGGCCCTTTTGTGCCCAATTCTGACATGTTAACAACCTGTTAACTTAAGAACCACAGAAATGTATTTCTAAGATGGTTTGTATCTACCTCAAACAGAGCTGACATCGACAGTGAGCAAATACAATTTTATATAAGCTTTTTCTCTGGCATATTATTGGTATATCATCAAACTACAGGGTTTTTTTTTATTGCATTTTGTTTGCAACTGCTTTTTGTCTGCAATTACAGACCAGTGCCCGAAATTAGGGTATAGAAGAGTAAGAACCCCCTCTTCCTTCCACACTCCAGTTTACCTTTACCTCTTCTTTACCTTATTAAACAGCATACTTCTCATTTTGTTTAATGCTTTGTGGTCTTAGTTTTTACAGAATGACAGTCCAAGCAGTAGCAATGATAATTTCAGGACAATGCAGCTGGTTTCTAGGAAGAATGAGATTACACAGCCTCCTACCTAGAGTTGATCCCTTTTCTACAGACTCATGCTGGTAATGGTGTTTTGTTGCTTTCTAGTAATAAAAATAAAATATGTGAGGATGAGCACTCTGCAGAAAAACAAACAAAAAACACTTTATGTGGTTGAACAGTGTAACTTTCAGCTTATTCAACACAGAAAGAGGTGTGTTCTAAGGTAACAGAATGATGTTAAATTTGTGCCAGAACTTTAACATCAGCCCTGTCATATTGCTACAGTAGCATAATTCTTCAGCAATTAAGCACCATACATTGAATAAATCTTTATCTTAGTTATAATGATAACTATTACTATTACTATTTAAACTGAGATCTACTAACACACTGACCTGTTAACGCGCGGCTGAGATGTGGAGAAAGCGCCAGAGTCCTGGAATTTATGGATTACTGACGCTTACTGAGGCCAGCTGGCAGAGGCATTATCATGCTCTGTCTGCTTAATTGAATGAGAGTTGCAGGGACTTGGGCGTTTGGAGTGAAAGTTATTGGCTTGACCTCAGAATACCACGTATGTAACCCATTAGTCTGGTATCTGTGCGCTGCGGCAGTGCAGCAGGGTTTATCTCCACAGCTCCTGTTTGCTCAGCAGGGACGATAAGCTACCTGGTGTCCATCGTCCATAAGCCTCATAACAACCTTTACTGTGACAGAGGTTGAATGTAGCCCATCAAATGACAGAGAAACATACACCTGAAAAAGAGAGCCTATGACCCATAAGCACCTGAGCAGTCTACCTCAGTGGCCGCATTTCCATTTATTACCATTTATGTTGGCACACCACAGTCATGTGGTCATTTACAGCACCAAGAGGGAACAAGTGGGCAATGTTTTTCAAGGCTGTGCAGAGAGAAGGGCCTCAATGTGTAGAGAGGCAGAAAAGGGGAAAAGAAAAAGTCGAGTTTCCAGTTAGTAACGGAAAATACAGGTCAATTAAAAACATCCTCTCATGACAAACCAAAGTTTACTGCATCTCCTAGATGGGGTTACATACTGAAACATCAGCCATATTCAACACCAAGGATGCAATGATGCTAATAATATTTTCTCTGGCACAAGCTGTAGCCCCTGTACATTAATAAAATCAAGTACCATTAGTGATAAGGATGTGTGAGTGAGCTCAGCACTGTTTAAACCAAGACTTTTTTTTCAGCATCAGCACCTATGTGTGGTGTACCCCATATTGTAATAGCATTAACAAAACCACAGTGACCTAGACGTCCATCCTTGTGATAGCTACACTGAGCTGCCTCGGCCTAATCAGCGGTATATTTAATAATCACACCATTGATATTTTATCTTTTCATCAAGAGAGACACAATGTCATTGACCTTCAACAAATGTCACATACCTATTTTACTTTACAAGTGTTTTGTCAACTTACTTAGCTGAAGGACTCAGGCATGTCATCAGCTAATTAGAGGTGGGGGCCAAAGGTGTAAAACTTACAATCAGACAGTATGAGGCATCAACGCTTCAATGAGAATAATTATCTTGTAAACCATATATTTTAATAACCTTGGTTGTAAAAAAAAAAAGAAAAAAAAAAGACTGGACTGGGCCTCTCAATGTGCTCAGAACAGCATTACACGACCAATGCTGCAGTACATGACCTGCATACTATCTCTAACTTAACAATGAGAACAAACTACTACATTTACATTTGTCCTTGTAGTGCTTTCCATATATTGTGGTATATGTTACATGTTTTAGTCAACAAATATCACAAACCTACAATCAGCTTCAACAGTACTGCTGTGTGACCTTAACATGATATCAAGTGTCACTGTTAAAATTGGATTTAACCTCACTCATGACAGTACTACCTAAAACCTAGAACACATTTTTGATAAGTTGTTCTGTACATTTTGGTTCTAAGTACAACATGTTAACTTTCTAATCTTTTAAGACTGAAATTAAAGCTAAATGACCCAGCTAGCCTGCTCTGGAGTCCCAAAGCTACTGGCCTTAGTCCTTAATGCAAAGGACCTCTTAGGCACGAAGTCAGTTCAATACCACTTTATGGAACAATTTGCAATAAAGACAACTACTTGGGAATATCTTTCTGTCTTCAAGGACGCGCATGACACTTAACGTCCCATTCTTTTCCCAACAGGAAGGGCTGAACTGGTGTTCCATTTTAGAAAACACCCACTTCCCCTTGAGCCACGGCCAGATGTATGACACAAACCCTGGCCTTTTCCATGCAGGCAGCATGGAAGTGATGTTAAAGTGCGTCAGGCCAAGCAATGAGCATGAGGCTAAATGTAGACACGGGACGGAAAAAAATTAGGCACACGTCAAATCTTTCCAATCTAACCTAAAAGTTGTCCCCATGACTAAATCTGATCTTAACCTATTTGTGTTCATGAACAAAAAAGTACATGAACTTCCAAACCAAAATTACATCAAACAACTTTGTTTGGAAACTTTAAATTTGACTAGGAGGAAACTTTAGGGAAAGCACACAAAGCAAGCAACCACTCTCGAAAGATGCAGCAGTGCATGTTTCTTTCTATGCAGAATGAAAAACCACATTGTCCATGTTGTAAACAAACTGCTGCTGACATTTGCAGACAACAGGAACAAGTCCACTGCTGTGATAATTCCTCTCACTGAGGAGATGAAAGAGAAAGTCGGATCCAGTTATGAAAGCTGGACAGCTATTGCGTGGCTGCATGCTCCCATTGCTCTTTGCCTTGTTCCTTCTTGTATTTATCCCTACAATCTTTTTCCCTCTGACACATACCCTCAGACACACTTTCACTCACGCAGATAAAACATTTCCTTTCTCCCCTCCTCCTCCCTTCACAGTCTGGTATGCAGCACACTGCAGCAAAACTCCAGAAAGAAAAATCTTTAGAAAAGCAAACCATATGACGGCTCTTTCTTACCTCCTTTCTTCTTACCACCGCTGTGCCTGCGTTGTCTCACGTATGGAAGGCACCTGGTGCTTCTGTGACACTTCTCTACACTGCGGCTCCCCTTTCAACCCTCAGCGACTGGAGTTAATGACCGTATGAAGTGTTGTCATTCCACACAAGCTGCCGTGTGCCGAAACCAGAGATCCATGCCTAGACAGGGATTGTCTCCCTACGTCTCTTTGCACTTTCTCTCTCCCTCTCCGACAAAACTGAGCAAGCATGCAAGCAAGCAAGGCAAGGCAGGCAGGCAGGCAGGAAGCAGGAGAGTGTCTACTCCAACTATCTCGCTAAAACACTTCCAGCCAATCCCTCCAGCCCCACCTCTCCGCCTCCATGCACCCCTAAAGCCAGCCTCTTCCTGCCCACCAGCTTGTGGCATGGCCCCGCCCCCTTACAAACACCAACCAATGGAAGAGTCACTTAACTGAATCATAACTGTCTATTGGAGCAGATCAGCTAAAATGCACAGGCAAAAAGTGTATCTACAGTAACATCCACTGAATGAGGTATTTCCCCTGTTCCAATCCTAATCACATTCTAACTTAATCCTCATCATTTCTGCATCAACTGTTTTCTATTAAAAATCCAGGCCAGAACACATTTGTATTTTTAGTGTACCAAAGTAAATCCAGACACTGCAGTAGTGTAATGAAGACAAAGATAACATCTATCCTTGTCTATATGTTCAGTGAAAACCATCCCCTAGGAAACAGGACCACTGCACCACCACCTCCTTCTTCTTCTTCTCCTTTTCCTTTACTATGGCTTTCTTCAACCTCCACTCTGCAACTATACTGTAAAGTCATTCCCATTATTTTCTAGCCGTCACCTCCTTTATTCATCTCTTACACCTTCTGCTTTTGTATTTCATACAATATCACTTGTGTTTTAGGGGGAGAAATTGGGGGAAAAAACTAAAAGATCAATGATGTAGTGATTGTTATTATCAGCATTATTGTTTGTGACCAGAAATTTTGTGAGGTGCCACAAGCGGGAACCAGCACTTACTCAGGAACTAAAATTAATTTACCATTGCGAAAATGTCAAACATGTCTTGTCCATATGAGCAGATGGCTGCTTTTTGCAACCAGATCACAGAAACCATTTCATCATGTTAAGAATTAAAAAAGAAGAATATTACCTCACTAATCAAGGTACAACATCCACTTGCTTTCATTTACACATCATTCATCTGGACCAAATGGTTTGTGTCACATTTAGATATACCTGGAGTGGACGCATGAACATCAAAGTATATTTACTAGTAGTAAAATCAAAGATAACTTAATTGAAGTGGTGAATAGTTTAAGTAGTAATTTTAGAACAATGCACTGTTGAATATGAAGTCCCTTCTGTGGGTTTCAATGACATTACCACTGCTTTTTGAACACATTTTCCACAGATAAGTCATATAATGTGTTCCACAGATAGTGGCAAAAGTCGTATGCTTGCCATCAGTGAACAAGGGCCCACACCGATGGCAGACTCAAAAGGCCCTGGCTGACCTTTGACTTTGTGGTAAAACAATCATATCAGAGCTATTTTTTCTATCCATAAAAGGAATTTTAAAGAACATCTTCTATATCTTAACCACATAACAGCACTTTTTTGCTATATTTAAGGATTAAAAACATATTCAAAGCACTTTTTTCAATCACTGTCAATTTAATGTGGATAAAGATGACTGATTACTAATAACTCCCTCCGGCCTTTGTCTTGTTGTCAGATTGTGTTTTCCCTGGTTGTACAGTGAACATTTCTGGTGTCATTGTCATTGCTTCAGAACAAGCTTCGGGCAAAAAAGGGTTGGTTGTGGTCTGGAAGTCCTATCTGACTCCAACTCCGCCCTGTCCTTCGTCCAGTCTTACACAGCTGATGATGTGCCAACTGGCTTTAACTATGAGCCATGAAACCACAGCATGGCAATAGTGATGAGTCAGAGATCCGGCTTCATGACTTTTCCATCCAGATTCAATGAAACAGCTGTGCTGTCTGTCTTTCCCACGTCCCTCTCTATATCCCTGCTCTCCACCACATCCAAAGACTGTGAATGAGTGTGTTTCACTGACATCACTGGGCTAAACATGCATTAAAATGCCGCCACTTGCTAACGTGTTTACTATCTGTGTACTCCCTGGTTGCTACAAACTGATTCCCCACTGATGATAGATTTATAGGCATCCTCATCAAATACACTAATACTGATGTTACTTCAGATGTCTGTGCAGCTGTGAGAAAATGGATGAATTAAATTAGAAAATGTACTACTGGGCAGGCTACACTTATCATTAATACAGAGGTTCTTAACCTTTTTGACCTTATGGCCGAATTTTTATTGTACAAGTTGGTCTGGGGCCCATTAAAAATTCAATAACATTCTATAGGTTTAAGTGACCTCACTATCAGTCTGATTTGGACTCAATAACAAACAGAATCCACTTAGAGTTTGAAAATCAAAAAGCCATATTTGATGAATCCTCTGGGGTGAGGAGTTCTGCACGATGTCCGCATTCATTTTATAAGTTTAAAAAATCTTCTTCTCTGTATATTGGAGCTGGTTAAAGAACTGACTGACGCATTAACACCACCATGTGGTCAAAAGCTACATTGTCACTGAGCTAGTCATGAATGACATATCTGGTGTCTTCAGTTAATAACCTATGCAGTCCTGTGCCCCTTACAACCGAAAGGTGCAAAACTGAAAGTATTTTGCAGCTCTCTGGGTTGCGTTGGTAGCCCAAGTTTTGGCTGTGCCCTTTACGTCACTGTCAAACTGCTGAGTAATGAATGAAATCCACCAATAACTAAAATTTGAGTTATACTTTTGCATATTTCTTGACATCTTTCCATATTAATAATTATATCATTTTGATTAGCCAGTAATTAAAAATGGGTGTGAAACATACACACATGTACATTTACCTGTTGTTACTTGTACTTCTGTTCTAGCAGTATGAAAAAAAAAAATCTTTTCGAATGTTCACCAGGCACTTTCAACAGGAGACAGATCTGGACTGTAGACAGACCAGCCAAACACAAACAAACTATTATTATCTGACTAAAAAAACTTCTAACCTTACCTAGACACATCCTACACAACATGTAAAAATAGTTGGGATTAAATTAGGGAACGATTTCACACACAAATGATCAAGTCTTAATGATGAAGGTTGATCATAGCTTTCATCCTTAAAGAAATAAAGATCAATACAACCACCTGAGATTTATTAATCGTTTTTAACTCTCGTTACGGAATACATGTCAGTAGCTTTACACCAGGCTTAACTTGAAGCTAATTTCCAGTGGCAAACCTCAGATAGTCTCCTTTAGGATAGCTCCTAAATAGATTTCTCTAGCAGGGAAACAAACAAAAGCTCAACAAACAGACCACGCCACTTCTTCCCTTCATGTTATCCCCTCCCCAACTATTATTCCTGTCATGTTTAACTAAGTTTAACTCACAGACAAACACACAAGAGATTGGCTGGTCTGATGATAAAGTGGCTTTATTTAACACAAATGATTGTTTTTATTCTGACAAGAATGAGGTAAAAACTGGGTTAAAATGATGGTCAAACAGCACAAACTGTTTTTTGCCTGTCGCACACTATATTATTGAAGGAAATTTCATGAAAATGGTGACAGAGACAGACTTTGAGAGAAAGAAATAGAGAAAGACCAAGCTATTAACTAGAGCAATGAGGTCTGATCAATAAAAAGGCAACAGCCTTTTTCTTATATAAACAGATATCAGACGTGAAAGATGGGGACTGCATTAAATGTCATTCTTCCAAGTTTGTTACACACTATGTCCACATAATAAGCCAGAACAAACACATAAAAAAATTGAAGGCTAAACGATAATAAACAGTTTTGTTTAGATAAACGTGGCTTATTGACTATGTTCAAAGGTCAGTATCAAAAAGGCACTAAAAACCCAATTGGGAATCATTGAAAAACACACATTATGATCTGAATGAAGCTACTGTAACTTCATCTCTCAAGTCATACTGTCAGACAGAACTTAGCGTGTAAAATGCATGAATGTGGGGCAAGAGTATGACCATACAATATGTTTAGGATTTTTAGAGCATCTGTGAGGATGCATTTCTGCTATTGGTCTATTTCCCACTATGAAATGTTTTGACCAAATTATGTTCCTGCAGATTGGAAAAAACTCATACACAGGTTGGCACTGCTGCAGAAAAAACAAAACACGTATATACTTCTTGCAACCTCTAAAAATTGCAAATTACCAACGTGATATTAGAGAAAAATACAAAAGTAGAAAAATGTTAACTTTCTTAACATCTGTTAGAATTGAAAAGTAATTAATTTCTTAATTTGATGGATTTAATTAAACAGTTTTACCTATTAAGCTAAATTCTAAAATTTACTACCCTGTTGTTATCTCTTCATAATTTAGGATTTTACTGTTTCCTAAATCGGTTGTTATAACACCACTGATTACAATTCAGTTAAGGTGATGTTTAAATGTATATTTATGTGTATAATAACCTGAATAATATCAGGAAGTGAAACCTCCTAGGCAGATATGGATCCGATTCTGTTTTTTGTTTGTTTTGATGGAAATTCTCGCATAGACTACCTTTAACTCTTTTTCAAAATAATGCTGTTTGTTCACACGCACAGTGTAAACAACCAGTATAATGTAAGGAACGTTAAACCGACCCGTGAAGGGGGATAACCAACAGCGTGAATAATGACGAGTGAATTAAGTAGAGAGGCAGTGATTAGGAGCTAGCATAGCAAACATTATATGAAATAAAAACATTAGTCACGTTTCCATCACAACTTCCTGTCAAACCGCATGACAAAAACAATTAAATAATAAAAACAACAACACAAACAGAGCAGACAGAGCATCTTGTTAGCAACAAAGCTAAGTTTTTACCTGCTGACGGAGCTGTCACATCCAGCTGCTCTTCAGCCAGCAGCCGCTTTCCGATGCGTTATTTCGGCCAAAAATGGTCCTTTGACTCGGGAAATGGTAGCTGTTATCGGAAAATGCGCTTTAACGGTGGGTACTAGCTTTTTAATCCGCTTCAGAAGGCTAATATCTTCCCTCTCCCTGCCCGTTTACGAGTGAAAGTGTGCCCTATGTGCGCTGTCACTAGATAACTACTTTTTAAAGCGCAGGAGGAAGCAACAAGCGATTTTGACAGTTCGACAGAATGTTAAACGAACATCGCGCGCGGGTGATTTTACTCTGCTTTAATAGTAATTTTATATATATTATCAACAACTGTGCTGCTGTAAAATGCATTACTAACACGCACAAATGTGCTGATGTGGTACAGTTCTAAACGTTGGGCTCTAAAGGCGAGTAAATGTGCTTTCAACTCGATAAACAACACGGTGCACCCCTCCGGTAACGTTGGTTCAGTCCAGAGAGTAAAGAGAGGGTAGGGAAGGTTTGTCTCTGCCTTGGAAACAACAGTGAATCTCGAGGAGGAAGATGTGGCCCACGCTTTGTAAAAACAATGTCGGACTGTTATTTGCTCTTGACTTAATGCAAAGAAAATTAATTACTTATTTAATTAATATAGAAGCTTAAAGGAAATTTCCCCATTTACAGTATGACTGGGCTTTCTCCATCAACTCCTGCTTTCTTTCACAAAACAAATCATTCTTGACATAAAGTAGATTAAGATAAACTGAACTGTGATTTGGAAAATAATCTGTGTTATTCTCTGTTTTAGACCATAAATGAATTGGATTGTGTTGCCTCCAGGCTGTTGTACAGTGAGAACAAGAGTAATGGGCTTACTTGGTTCTTAGAAAAGACATTAGGTCTGTTTTTTTAAAGCATACTCTCATTTAGAGAAAACAAAGACAGAAATCAACACTTCGATTTCTTAACCACTCTTTCTTTTTCTCCTTTTGTCTATGTCACCTTTTTTTCTTTTCATTTCACAGGAAAGTTATTTGTAGAATTTACATTGTGTCATATTAAAAAAGACTAAAAAACCAAAGTTTTAAACAACAATTTCTTTGAGTGAATGCATGATGAGGTCATAATTAAATTTTAAAGTATCCCTATTTTTCAAGCCCTATTATTTATTTCAAATAATTATTTACATTTTAATGTGGTTGTCAGGCTTGAAATCAGTGCATATTTTCATTGAACTCCTTTACCTTCAAAAAAAGTCCAGAAGGAACATCAGAAATTCAATGTCATAGCATATTACTTGATTGTTGCCCCTAAGCTGCTGCAAAAAAATGCAAATACAACAAATGAGATATAAACAAAACACTGACCTTCAAAATTGCTAAATCTTGAAAACACTGATTTTCTGTAAAGACCTTGTTTGGAAAAACTTGTGATTGGACAAATTGCCCGGATTTTACTTATTGCCTTTGTTGCACTTTGAGATGTTGTCCCACAATGTAGTGCCACAAAAGTGCATTCAATTATTATTATACGTATATAAATAAACACCTGTGCCTGCACATACACATAACTCTTTGGCACCTTATTTTATGAGGATGACAAACATGTGTGATTTGATGATAACATTGCACCAATCCAATAAAAAGAAAACATTTCCTTTACAACATAGAAGAAGCATGTCTGTTATCTTTTAAGTGTACTGTAAAATAAATAGTAATGTCAAAACAATCACGAAAGAAAAGGTTGTTACACACTTCATATTAATGCACACTTACCACCTGATGTCCCTCAGAGGAGCCTGCACATCTTCAGCATTTTGCAACCTAATTGCCCACAGCTGCTTGGATTTAGCAGCCAGTGACACAGAGAGACCCGTTGTTAGTGAAAGGAGCGTAACGAGTCAACGAGGAGCGTGTCACAAATATCCCTGGAATGAGCCGGGCGGCACAAATTTAGCCCCACTGACTGCTGCCCACGCCGTGTCCTGTCTGTTGAGCACATTACAGTGAACATAGCCATGGCAGGCCTGAGCTGTCAGGGTCAAGGCTGAGATCTGCTGTAGATCAGCAGTAGTACCAGCAGCAAAATGCAACATGGAATTAAGGCATCACTGTTAGTGAAGATATCTGACAGTTTCAGGGATAAAGGTTTTATTAGTTGTCAATAAGTTGTCAAATAGTATTTTATCTTCTCCTTAAGTAATGTGCAGGAATGTATCATCAGGAATGTTATATTAATGTCTTCACAGGAAGTATTTGCTTTGATAGTTTTTAGGACTCTTTCAAGGCAACACGTATACCGGAGTAAAATCGATCCACTAGGGGGAAGCAGTGCGACAAAATAAATTGATGTTTATCTAAACTGGTAAGCTAAAACCAAAATGAAACTTATGCTTTTCATGTCTTTGATCATCTGGTTTAAAAAGAGGAATCATTTTAAACCTTGGCTAGATTGTTGGCACGGTCCTTGTTCCAATAAAAATTATATACAGTAGGTAAATAAATAATAAATACATCTTTACATTTTCAAAGCTAAGCATATTGTTAAACACATTGTTGACAGAGGTAACTACATTCACTTAAGTACATTTTAGCCAATGGAAAGACATCTTAAAAAGTAAGTAGTACTGGTTCTAAAAAGTGAACTATAGGAATCCTACTTTGTGAAACCCAATACTATTTGCACACTAATTTATGATAGCTTCTGAATAAATTATAGAGCGTCTTCATCATGCTGAAATAGATGCAGGTGTAATGGAGTGAAGCTAAATGGAAAAAAATACTACAGCAGAAGATTTATGAAGACTCATGACAAAGTCTTTTGTCATTGGATTAATGAGTCTGCTGTAAAATGGTCCATCTCAGCGTTTTAGACACCGTCTCTCCGAACACTGTGCATGTGTTTGTAGATCAGCAGACAGTGGTGTGATCTTCAATCCATCCTCACTTAGACATTGTGATTAGTCAAATGATCATCAGTTATGTCGGGAGTTAGATTCCCAGGTGGTCATGTCACGATCTTTAAAACTGACATACAGAAAACACACAAGCACAGCTAGATTTGGGAAATGTTTGCTGCTTCTCATCATAACCACACTTCAGGCTAATTCAATCAGAATAAAGAAAAAAAAATCTTACAATACTGATGTCCACTCAAAACGTTCAAACACTCTCATGCATCTCATGTACGGAACTGCTGTACTGTAGGCAGCAGTCAAATTTAGAAGGAAGGACGGAAGGAAGGACACTGAGTTATTAATAGGTAAACGGACAGAATCAATAGATTGTGGCATTTTAATTTCTTGTAATGCATTTTTAACAATGTCAAAAGATAATGGGCTTGTTAACATGCCAACAAAGAGGTTTAGAACATTTTGTTCCTGAACTAATACAACCAGTAATAGTTAAGTTAATCAGAATAACCGAAAAACACACACACACACAATAATAAATCAATATATATAAACAGCATTTTTGTTAAATCATTTTTCTGTCCTTTGTCTATGATTTTACATTAACTTTGGTTGAGTTTCTTCTGGCCAAATGTGACCTTTTGGTTGGTGAGGCATGGCGAGACTGCAAAATGTTCATGTGACTGTAGGACAAAACAACGAATAATAAAAAATATATATAATAAAAAAAACAGACGAAATGTAGACATGCAAGAATGAAGGCAAAATAGATTGTATAAAAACTCCAGAGCTAAATACCAAGGTGTTTGGGTGAGTTTGTGGAACAGCGTACTGTAGGTCTGTGCATCCTAATTCTACCTGTCTGTCTCCTGTCAGTCTGATTTTCCTCCATTCTTCTCCTGAAAGAAAAACAACAACAACAAAATTGTTCTTTTGTATTGGTAAACTGCTGCTGTTCTGCTCTGTGACGCCTCCTCATCTGATGTTAAGGTCCAATCTGCAGAAAAAACAGAGAAGCAGTCGAAAACCTGTTAATGAGCATGAACAAACAGGCAGGCGTCTTTTTTTTTTTTTTTTGTATTTATTTTCAGCTGGTTTTCTGGGAAAATGTCTCATTGTGTCCAACAAAGAGGGTGATATGAGGACAAATACATCAGAAAAAAAAATACATTAACCTACAGATGTAATGACGTTAAAGGAAAATCAGTCTGAAAAAAATCTTCATGGTCTTTATTAGTTTTTTCTTCTCTTTAGAAAGCTTGAGTTCTAAGATATTTTAAAAAAAACCTTTACTGACAATAAGACAAGTGTTTTTTCCTCTGTAGACTGATTTAATTGCTTTTGCATGAAAAAAGTGTGTCTGTTTGTATTCTTGGTTTTGCAGAATCAAAATAAACAAATTAATAAAAATAACCACAACCGGGCTTTTAAAATAACACAAACATCTCATCATTTTAAAACCATAAAAGCTCCGTTTAAAAAAGGAAACACTTTTTCACAGTCTGTGCTGTAGTGAATTTATATATTATATCATATTTCTGCTGAGATTGTGCTGGCTGTTTTTACTTGCCAGTGTGTGGGTGTGTGTGTGAAGAATGCCGACAGCAGAAGCAGCATTTTTTTTTTTTTTACAAATGCCTCCTCTGCATCGGGATCAATACATTAGGCCCCTGGGGAGAGTTTGACCTATGTGAGCATTTTTTCATAATCACTTATATCTAACCCCCCGTCCCCCTTAAAAAAAAACTACCAAAAAAACCAGAACTCCGTAACGAATTGTGTTTTGTTTCCACTTCTTACATCAGGAAACCATGAAAAGAGATTATATTCAATAATGTCTTTAAAAAGTCCATAGAGATAATTACCAGTGTTACGTCATTGTCCACAGAATACATCAATAATGCTCTGATAAATAGACCAGAAACTTTTATAATTAGACTTCACTGTTTTAAATCGTCTATTCAGAGAAACCAGACTGATCCAAAACAATATTATAAGTTTAATAAACAAAATATTCTTGTAAACATACTGATCCAGCAACCAAATACTTACAGTGAATTATCATTATCATTCATCTTATTGT